GTGGGAGGATAATCTCTCCACGTTGGTTTTCCATCTTGCCGCCCCCAGCATTGCTCCATTGAGGCTGTCAAGAGCAGGAATTGGACACTGGCTAGCATGGTCGTGTTGGTTCATTACTTGACAGCATAGATAACAAGCTCGGGGGAAATCTAAGCATGGTTAACAGATATCAGCAAATTGAGTTTGGTTCCCTCTGGATGCTACTGCACATTGAAAAGTAACACGACGAGGTTTAAGTGAACGTTTTGTTCTTGTTTTCTAACACATGTCAACAGGTTTTCTGAGATAACTTCCATCTCTGTCAAGTATATCCTCGAGAAAAAGCAGGTGGGTGCCTGGCTGCTGTCAACGTGCTGAGGGAGCAGATTGCTCACCCTCCCTCGCCCTTCTGAAAATATCAGCCAGGAAGTTTAACTGCATGTTAGTAAAGGGCTGAGGGTGCCAGCCTCTTTGGTGTCGTTTTCAAGGTCAGCTCTAATTGACCTTCCTCTCGCTCAATTTAGTTGCTCCCATCGTTTCCTTTTGATTCCCTGACCGTACTCTTATCATTGGGATTTCCGTGTGTTCCTGCATTGTCTTTTGGTTAAGCCGATTCCCGCTTACTTCCTCTCTTTCTGCTTGTGCTGCCTCGTCCTCCTCTTCCCCTCTCTCCTGCCTGCTCTCTTTCCTCAGGACTCACTCATTCTCCTATGCCTCATTTATCATTTCCCCATCCTGAAATATGCCCGGATGCCCAACCTGCAGCTCCACAGCCCAGATGCCCACTATTTTCCCAGCTAGCTTTCAGGAGCAGCTGTTTCACACAGCCGCAGATTACTCCCGCGTGGTGGGAGGCAGCTGCTGTATTGTAGTTTGAAGAACTCAACAGGAGCTGCTGGAAGCAGCCAGTGGGCTCTATTTCAGCTGTGCAGGGGGCTACAGGCCTTCCTACGGGCAGGTTCATGTCTGGTACAGCATTAAGTAGGTAACTTGTTTCCATGTGAGCCACAGGAAGACACTGGTGTACATAGAGGCAAGGTACAAGTTGATGGCGTAGAGCCAGCAGCTCTCCTACCTGTGGCTCTGGAGTGACAAAATACCACTTGGCAGGTTTGTCTTGCTTCTGAAGGAGGTGTTGGCTCCTGGCTTTACTGAAGTTACAGCCCCACTTGCCTGCTAGGGTAGCATCTGTATGTACACCGGGTGGATGCTGTGCCGCATGAGAGCTGGATGCCATGAGAGCTGCACAGAGCCAGATTTGGCCTGACGTGCTGAGCCTTCAGGATGTCTGTGGGGAGTTTCAAACAGTAGGAAAATTAGGTCCTAACCTACTCAGCCTGTGCCTGCATGAAAATACCTACTGCTGAAAGCTAAACAACAGCAGAGATCATCTCTGTGGCAGCACTAATGGCAATTGATAAATCGATACAGCAAAGCCACCAATAACTTCTTTTTTTTTTTTTTTTTTTAAAGAGATAGTCTATTATAATTACATTACCCAACTCATTAGAAAAATGTATGTAATTAGAGCAGGACAGTCTGTGCCATCACTTTGAGAGACTCGAAGTCAAAGTTCCTGGTGGATTTGCCATCCCCCATCCCAGAGCAAAGCCAGGCATTACTCTGCTGCAGCAGTGTCACCCTGTCTGAATTCAGCCTCCGCGTGCTTTGCCAGAGAGAGATTTCCCTGTGACATCAATTGCTGAGGTTTTCTCTCCTTCCTTCCCGAGCCAACGGCACGCAGCCCAGTCTTCGCAGCAAACGCAGGCAGTGCCAGTCGGCAGAGGGAAAGGCCAGCCTCGCTGCAGCATCCCAAACTCTCTGCGACAAGAGAGTTTTGCCAACTCTCAGTGTCTCCTGGGCAACATCTTCCACTACCAAACCCCTGGTGGACAAAATGATGGGTCACTGTAAATATTACTGTTTAAAAGGGTCCAGGAGGCGAGTGGTCACGGCCTTGCAATAAGTATGATAAATTGTTTATTGTAAACAGTACAACGAAGGGCATAATTTGGGAAGCCCTGCCGAGGAGGAAACTCGCATGCCTTCTAGGCACGTCACAGAGTACTTTGGCCCTTCACAGACCTGGGACACCCTATGCCATGTGCCTCCATGCCCTTCTGCCACAGCGCAGGGCAGAGCAGAGATGCTTACCCATTGCTTTACTTGTTGGTGCTTTGCAAGGAGCCCACATTCTTTTGCAGAGCGCAAACCTTGCAGAGGAAGAAGGAGCCATGCAAGCACCTGGCAGTGCGGGAGAAACACTTTCAAAAGCATGCAAGTCCTGCTGGACCCTGTCCCAAGGATACTGGCTTGTGAAAAGAGCCTCATCCAGCCTGTAATGGCTGGGACCAGGTTCCCTCCCGTGGCTGAGAGCTGCCACCGCAGGAAACAGCAGCTCTGTGATGCTGTGCAAAGCGTGCAAGGGGCAGGCGTCTCGCGCTAAAACCGCTTCTCCCGAGACTGGTATCGAAATTACGTCCCACCTCTTGCCAGTTAACACCAAGGTGCTCCAAGAGAGCACGCCTAATTGCTGTACACAGTAAAGAGATACTCATTTGGAGCCCTTCTGACAGTAGACAGATCTCTGGGATGCTCCTCTTAAGCAGGACCAGAAGAACTCTTGAGTGGACTGTCATTAAAGTAAAGGGATTTTTCTTATTTGTGTTATGCAAAGTTGAAAACACAGGTTCCTGAGCAGAGGACAGCACATTTTTACTCAGCCTGTAGCATACAGATCCCCCAAAGTCTTCGTAGGCTTTACCACTCCGGTCATCCTGGACAGGTAAGAGTGGATGGCTCTGTGCTAGTACTCACAGTTACTGGAGTAGGACAGGAGTGGGCCAAGTGCTGTGTGGGTGTATATATGATGTGAGTAGCTAGCTTATAATTCATGGATACTGTATGTTACCTGCTTTTTAGAACAACTGCTGCATAAATGGTCAGTGCTACCGAAGCACTCACTGGTGCACACATTTGCTGATGTTATGCAGTCGCCGGGTGTGCCAAGACCAAGCGGGAAATCAGCACAATGCCTCAAGATATGTTATCGACTTTAAATGTGGCAGGAAGTCATTAAAGATTTCCTGAGCTATTCCCTGGGAAAAGACTACCTCCAGGCTCTGGCAAAGTCAGAGGACTTGTGCTGCCAGGGATGAGAAATCAGAAGAAAAATTGCTTCAATAAGCCAATGTCAGCAGCTTCAGCAGGGAGCCCTCTGCTCCAGACGGATCCTATGCCCATGGGGTCAGTCGGGGTGGTGATGGATGACAAGACTTGGCTGACGTGTGCCAAGGGGCTCTTTGTAGCTCCAGGCAGACTCATCCGAGCCTCCCTAAGGCTCTGGGAGCTGAGTGAGGTACGGATGTGGACAGATCTCAATCCTTTATCTCTGAAGCTTGTAAATCCCTATAGGTGAAAATAAGTGATAGCTTATTTTAAGAAAGCTGTGAGGTTGCTCGATGAGCTCTCAGCCACAGGTCCGGGAGGGAGATTTGCAGATGCAGAGCTCTCAGACCAATGGGGAAAAGATGGTTTCCTGCCATCAGGAGGCAATCTGAGACTGGGACAAGAGTGTGAGCAATGAGGGAGGCCAAACCAGGCAGGTGAAGACAAGGAGCTCCAGCGTTTGTAGGGAGCTTGTTCAAAAAGACTTGAAGGGAGTTGGGGCATGATATAACGATGGTACCAGGAATTCATGTGACTCATCTCACTTGATGTATGGGATAATGCTCACTTTTGTTGCTGCAGATCTGTCTTGAAAGATATTTATGTTTTACCAGCAATATGTTTCTTTTTCTTTCTCCTAAATCTCACCAACCAGCCTCTGGTCAAGACTTACAAGGTGTCTCAGCAGATAAAAGGTCTTGGGGAATTGCTGTGGAAATTTCATTTCTGGGCTGTGCCTACAGGTGAAAATTAAAAAAAAAAAAAATGTAGCTACTAACTCCATGAGGTTATTTAACCCTAAAAGCTTAGTGTTCTGGGTAAAAACAAAGTCATTATGCTACGGTCAAGGGAGAAGAGCCAGCTAGTTATATTTCACAGTGTTCATTTTCTCACTGGAAAGATGAGTAGAGTAAGAGACCTTTCTTCTAAAAACAAAACAAAAACCCCAAGAACAGAGGAAAAAAAAAAAAAGTATGTGAAGATTAGACAGCCAAATTTCTAGTTTTGAGTACCTGCAAAAATCCTACAAGTGAACTTGTAAAATCAGGTAGTCTGCTATGTCTAGCAACCAAAAGCATGCACCAGGCTCAAAGTCTAATTTTGAGTGCAGAGAGCAGCAGGGACAGAAATTAGCAGTTTGAAGCTGCTACTAAACTTGATCAAGATATGTATGAGGATTTTTCTACCATTTATTTTCTACATGCTGTTTGAATTTAGGATATTTGTTCCTTAAATCCAGAACCTTGCTTACAAGCCTGCCAAAGATGATACAACTGTTTATCCTACTGGATCATTTGCTGGTTATTCTGCAAGAAGTGTGTGTTATTTCTAACACAAAACATACCAAAAATAAGCTGTCTGTCTTTTGAAAATTAACGTTTACGGTCAGAATAACTTTCTTTCTGCACAGGGAACAGCTATAGAATTGTTAGCCCCTAAGTTAGTGAAAGCTTGTCTGCCTCGGCCTGAAAATGTTTGGGGTGAAAGAGCGCCATAAAACATACTTTGTCTTACCTGTTTGGCTGTACCAGTGTAGCGTACTCCGTAGAAACCCGGAGGCCTTTTTTCCTCTCGTTGCTGATTTAGGTACCCGTTTAAAAGGCCAAAAGAGTTCTTATCTCGGACTCACAGTATGTATCTTACATATATGTCTTTGATTCTCTTTCCACAGGAGGAAAATAAAACATAGCTGAAAAACTAAGGCGTATTTCTCCAGCAGGATTTCAAGGGGCAAAGCCTGCTGGCCTGGGCTGTGAGGAGGTACCCTACACACACAGAAACGTTCCCCGGGACTGGTGACACCGTTGGTCAGCTTTGTTCTTACGAGAAGGCTTCCGCACAGCACTGCAAAAATGAATTTCCTCCGGAGGCGTCTCTCAGACAGTAGTTTTGTGGCAAACTTGCCCAACGGCTACATGATGGACTTGCAACGCCCTGACAACTCCACGAGTTCCCCGGTTTCTCCTGCCATGGAGAGAAAGCATCCGCAGCCACCGCAGCCCTCACACTCTTCCTCTACTGGGACCAGCATCTTCAGCTCCATCTCCAGTGCCATGAAGCAAACCACGCAAGCGGCTGCAGGACTAATGGATCACTCAGCCAGTCCCACGCTACCTGTGGCCCAGAAACCCAAGATCCTCCTGGTGATCGACGATGCGCACACAGACTGGTAAGTCATCACGGTCCTCCCTGCTGAATTCAGGTCCTCAAAGTTTAGGGAATGAAAAGGATCTGGAAAGCACAGGGCATCTGAAGGGGGATGCACAGACACTTTCACATCTAGGTCACCAACTCTGGCCCCAGGTAGGTGTCTGTCCGGTGACTTGTGTAAATGACAGAGTAGGCTTTTCACATACCTTTCTTGAAAAAAATGTTCATTTGATACTCACTGGCAAACTTCTATATAGCCTCAATATATGAGCACATATAGGGCATTCTTGGCTCAGCAGACTTAGCTGAGCTGTCACATCTAGCAATGGTCCTAAGAGGTCACAGCTGTGAAGGTGTTTTAATGATGTGGTTCAGGACATTAGCCTGCTGTTTGTGCTGGCTCTAAAAATGAAAAGGGACTCAGTCTCTCCTGAGGTTTTCTCTGTATGCAAATTTGTACATAAGTTACGAAAAGATAACCCAAGCTTACTACTACCAATAGTAATGACTGGAGTTCATTCACTGCTCAAGGGCTTTTCACCTGCTAAGCATGGTGGCTATTGGCAACAGGCTTTCAGGCTCAGCTAAGCCTCAAATTTGTCTTGTTCATGCACATCTCTCTTAACAAACAAAAGTTTGGAACTTTATTTCCTGTGATATTGGGCAGCAGAAGACACTTTCCAAAGGGTAGGACATTTGAAGTCTTCTGAACTGTTAAAGAAATGACTTATGCTAGCTGTGTGCTCCCTTTCAAAGTCGACTGGTTTAGGAAAGTTTGGGCAAGCTGGCTGAGAGACTTATTTGGGGGAAAATCCAGAGCATGGGTTGAGGAGGTGCTCTTGTTTCATCTGCCAGCTTGTCACAACACAGAAAAAAGGAAAAGGTAGCACAGGCAAGGGGACCGTAATGAAGAGTTCAGAAGGAAAGAAGTTGGGCTACCAGGTCTTAGCCAAGGGAAGTTATTCAACTGTTCTTTTTGTCGCACAACATTCTTCAGTAAAGTTGTCACCTTTGGTCTTCTCTGCTGTCCTAGGAGAGTGGGGACAAGGTGGCACCTGCCTCCCTGGGTGTATCTTCACGAAGCAAGATCTTAGCTCTTAGCTAAGAAGGGACCCTGACTGAATACAATTAGGTCAAGCTTCTTCAGCCAGCTTGAAGCAAGAGAAAGAAAACAGTAGGATTTTTCTCCAATGACGAACAGCTTTTTAGCTGAGTGGGAAAGTGCCTGATAAGGTGTTTGTCGTATCAAATGTTTCACTGGCCCCGTGTCTCTTTTATGACAGTAGTGGTCTCTTAACGCCAGACAGTTAGTTGGGAACACTGGTCTGTCTCAACCCTGATCTCTCCTCCCTGAATGCACCCGCAAGTCTCCCATCAGGCTGATACTCACCAGCCTCTATCTCTGCTTAGCGTTTCTGCAGTTCCTTGAAGATGCTGCCAGGTGGCAGTCCCTTAACATCGCATCCTCCAGCTCGGTATGGGAGGGCCTCTACTGCACAGCTCCAGCATCTGGGGCTTAGCCGGCACTGCTTATTCCAAACACTGTAATCAGAGAGGAAAGCCCTAGCTCAAAGGCCAATCTAGTTTTTCCTTGAGATTAATGGTGCTGAAGGTAGCCTGGGCAGGGGAAAGGACGAGGAGGGGTTGGACTCTTGCTGCATTTTCATGTTTTAAAATACACACTGCATTCAAATTCCTGCCTTTATATCTCCCAGCTGCTGTTCTGTCATGCAGACTTCGTGGTCTATGAGCTGAGCTTGCCCAAGGAGCAGCAGCTGGGAGATATAAAGCAGAGGTATGGCTACCCGCACCGTCTTCACTCCTCCACTCGTGTGTAAGCACTCCATGCGTCCTGCTGTCTTGGCTATCCCTCTGCTGTCTATAACTCAACGATTTGATGGAAGACCCCTTTAATTTCTCCCAGCTCTCTGCCTCTATCCACAGGCTAGTAGATATCAGATAATGCTGCTTGCAAGAGCTCTCTGCTTGCACTCTCTCTAAGGTTGTGAGGGCACTGAACAAAATTAGTGTATGCATTCATGACCCTATCCTGACATATGAATGACATGAAAACCAAGGAAACAACATTACTAACTTGTCTGCCACAGATTTCCATGGCTGTCTGTAGCATGGACAGGAACACATGCCTAGGGACTTCCCCAGCCTAAAGGTAGCATGTAGTCCTTTCTGAGAGAGCGTACCAATGCAATCACTCCAGCAGGCCAGGAGTGCTACTTGGCAATTGATTTTCTTGTCTCCAGGAGACTCAGTGAGCCCTCAAGAGCAGCACTGGAGAGCAGTGGCTCCATGGCTGCTTGGATGTTTGTTCTTGGTGAGGTCCTTCTCAGCAATGCCAGTCATCTTGGTCTCAGCCAGGGTGCTATGTTAGCTCAAGCTGACCAGCCCAAGGCAGCGGTGTTTGCCTTGTGAGAGCACAGCTGAAGAAGCTGGTTATCCAGGGATTCTGGCTGTCCAGTCTGCATCATGTACAGAAACAGTCTCAGACTTTGGAGGGTGAACAACAACCTATTTATTATTACTTCTGTGCTGGTGATTTGGGGTTTGGAAGAAGCATCATGTTTGCAATGCGTTTCCCTTCTGCCTTCTCTGGTTCTTGCTACTTGTGAAACCTTTGTATCTGTTTTTCAGGAAACCCTTTCCTTCTCCTTTTGAAATTGTTAACTCTACTAGGAAATAACTACTGAAGCACTACATTTATTTTAAGGGTGGGGGGCTTCCACAATGCCTCCTCCCCCACAGCAAGTTACGTGGGGTTTACAACAAGGACTAGCTTGTTCACAGACAGGAAGGGTGAGAGACAGTGGAATCTGCCATTTGATTTCTCTTCTCTAAATGAAAACACTTTCTCATAATCAGAGACTGTAGCAATATTGCCAAGTTAGACATTAATTTATCATCACTGTTTATATTACAGCAAAGAGCTGCAATTGTGGATTAGGACTAGGTGTTGCACAAGTGCATGACGAAATGCTCTAACAACCCAAATAGGCAAGTGCATGTTGAGTGCACTTTAAAGTGACAAATGGCAGTCCTTTCTATTTTTAAGGAGCTACTATGTCTCTGGTGGTACAATATAGCACTCAACTTCTCTCAGAGGTCTGGAGGAAGTGAAGAGCATCCATGGGAATCCATGGCCTGTCTTCCTCCATAAAATCCTTACCATTCTTGACGTGCAATATGCTCTGGTTAATTCCAAAACCAAAGTACTATAAAAATAATGTGAGCCCCACAAAATATGATCAGCTGCTTTCTGCATTAGCAGCAGTAAAAGAAAGTTACATTCTGTTTAAAGCAAGGGAACTCACTCAGCTTTCTGTTAAAGTGGCAACGCTTTGACGAATTTTCCATCCTTCTCCAAGACCCAGGTCTAGTGCATTGCAAGGAAGCTCACAGCGAATCTGCCACAGGCAGGATGTGCACAAGAGGGAAAACACTTGTGCTCTTGGCTTTGAAAGGCAGCCCTCAGAGGCACCCGCAGCAGTGAACATACCTAGTGTTCATACATATCTAGTGGCACACTAGGAAAAAACTCTGCTTCTCTTCATTCATTGATGGAACACGCCTCCACCTGGAGAATGAGGCATCTTCTTGTGGGCTGGGAGCATCCAGTGCCTTGGGAGACTTCTGAAAATGCATCCACAGCTCACCTACTGCAGCTGCCAGGAAAAGAAAAGGAGCTCAGACGTGAATGCACACACACGTGTGTGCAAACACACGGCTAAAGGGATTGGGACCGTGAGGAAGGGGGATGGCAGGACTCCATGTAATGGCAGATGGGCCAGCTCCGGCAGCCTGACCTCAGCCAGGAGCAAAACATCCCACCTCTGGCAGCTTCCTCGCCCAACGCACTGTTAAGTAAAATCATGCTCTTAGTGGATTGAATTTCTCAGCAGATCAAACAGGATTTAGTACTTTGGATTGTTAACCCCCATCCTCTGCGAAAGCACTCGGCCTTCTATCCTGATGCTTAATGTTTAAACAGCTTATTTGGGAAGCGATCAAGCACAGCTAAGGCTCCTATTAACAACATATGCTAAAAACATCGCTTTTTGGACCAGACAGCATAACAAAGTTGTTCTCGTTGTATTGGCTAGATACCTCGGTTGTGTCTGTGAAATATCTCATGTTACTTTTCAAAGCCATAGGTGTTGTTTTGTCCAAATTTCAGGCCATTTCAAGTGCTAACAGTGTTACATTCTGTCTTGCACAAAATGCTTGTGCCCTATGTGTGGCAGGTCTACGTGTGAGGATTGTGCCATGTTTCACAGAAAAAAAACCCACAGAGGATATTTTAGGAGACACAGAATTTCTTTGTTGTTTTCCCATTTGCTTTACAGCCAAATCTGCCTGAACATACTGTCTCTAAAAATTTAAAGATGAAGGAAGAGAAAAACTATGATTAATACCGAATTAAATCCTCTTAATACATCTGAAATGGTTCTTTGTGTAATAATAATGTCATGATTCAGGTCTTATTATGGCCTGACCTGACAGGATTACTGTTTTATACAGTTTGGAGGAAATTATCAACTCTTTTTTATTAAAATAAAACTGTTTTTACTTCTGATAGTACATGACAATATTGAGCCTTAAATATGTCATTTGTCCAAAAATATAGTTGGTCAAATAGTAACAGTCTAATACTGAATTTTAGTAACATGAGACTCCCTAAATCCTAAATTTTTTGCAAGGAATTCCTTTTCAAAAATATTCAATGAGTGTCATTAGTAATTTCATGCTTTCAGCAGGCTGAATATGATATACTAAGGCTGCTATTCAGAGGAGTATTTCTGTACCTAACTCAAGTATAATGGGAGGTTTCGGACTACCTTTTGGCTTTGGACTTGATTATCATTTATCTTTATTATTACTATTCAGCACTGATACTTTGAGCTTGACCTTAGGAATTTGCAGGTTAAATTGCAAATTTTTTATATATATAAAATTTCCTGATCAGAAGGCTAAAATCATCTCACATGGTGGTAACTGACGATAAGT